GGGGAGGGCGGAGTGGCGGCCAGAGCGCCGGGAGGAGGGCGGAGTGGCGGCCAGAGCGCCGGGAGGAGGGTGGAGAGCCCGCCGCGGCTCCGCTCTCCCCGGTGGCCAGAGTGCCGGGGGGAGGGCAGAGAGCCCAGCCGGGGCTCCGCTCTCCCCAGCGGCCGGAGCCGGAGCACCGCGCCGCCCCCCTCCAGGTGCTGCCCCAAGCACAAACTTGGTGGGCTGGTGCCTGGAGCCGGCCCTGTCTCTAGCACTAGACAACGGCTTGCCTGCCTTCCCTCCCGCACCCTGGAGAGCACAAGGAGGCGTTCGTGCCTGAACAGAGGGTGCAGCAATTACCACGGCGTGCTGGGTAGGTCCAGAGGCAGAACAAAAAATGGATCTGTTTGAACTAGACTTCGTTGCTATTGAACAAGGTGCCTTCAAGCAGGGTATCTAGGGGGACTTGATCAGCCAGTTCTGAGGGCACTCCGGAGTGATAAGCCTGAGAAAGTGACCGGGAGGGAGGAGAGAAGGGCTGGCTAACGGGGCCAAGTGAAAACCAAACCAAAACCACAGAGGATATTTCTAACCCCGACCTAACAAGCAACTGAATTCTGAGCTTTGTAAATCCGTGTGTGTTTGTGTGTGTGTGAGAATTATACGAACAAAGCCAGACTCCTACTGGGGCCCTCAAGGTGAAGTTATAGGCCAACACGTTAAGGCTGGGGGTTGATAAGGAAAAGAAGCATAATCAATACCTCTTTTTGGGAGTGGAGGGGATCTGCTTCCAGCTCGGGTGGCGCAAAGGGAAAGGAAACCACCCACCAGCCATACCCCCGGCACAGAGACGTCTCAAGGCAGTTGCGGTTGGCTCCTCCACCTCTCTCCTTGCAGCCCCGGCACAGGGGGCTCCGGGGCGGCTGAGCCAGGCTGTTCTCTGCCGTTGCAGACCAGCTCCAGTGGGCTTATGATGGAGCAGCAGAGAATCAGGAAGCCATAAATGGTTGCTAGAACTCAGCTGTTCTCCCCTGCATCCTCTCCTGGGCTGTGCTGGGTGACTGACTGTTAGCATCCTTTGCTAACCATGGCTTCTTGCTCTCCCAGTAGTCCCTCAGCTGGGAAGGGAGGGCTTCTACTCCGCTGCCCCCAACACTGCCGTTTAGAAGCCACAGTTCAGATAGCCGATTTTCAATTTATGATCAAGGATCTTATTAAAGGCAAGTTGATGGCCATAACGTAGAGCCTCAAGGACCCCCGCTGGACACTCCTGAAATAGATCCCAACTGGCCTGGTTTCTTAAGGTTTGCAGAATATCTGGAATTGGAGTCCTGGTGCTAGGCTCTGCAGAGAGATTTCTTCTCCCCACCCTTGGCTATTTTTTCTTTTCCATGGGGACTTTGGCTCTGAGCAAGGGTGGAGGTTAACAAAGGTAATAAGTCCTACCCCCTGCCATTCTTACCCACTGTGACCATCTGTACCCCTGTATTCACCCCTTGCACACTATTGTAAAGCTCTTTGTACAATGTATGCTGTGTGAGAAACTCATAAATTGCTGGTCATGATTGTCCCGGTAAAATGCGTGTGACCACAATGTATGGAAAGTTATGAGATTCCACTGGCTGGTGTCACTAAAACACATTCTCTAAGTCTGGGGAGTGGCCGCACCAATTCCTCTGAAACCAAGGGCAAGCTGATACCTCAGCCAGGCTACCACCTGCTAAACGGCCATTCTATTGCCCAGGCCAACTTTCCTGCCAAAAATCTACATCTTAGCAAAGAAACAGGAAGGGGTTCCCATCCATAGACCTGTCTCCTGAATCCCAGCTGGAAATATTTCTCAAAGGGAGGACAGGGCTATAAAAAGAAGGGGGAAGACACCCCAAAAGACCCTTCCCTTTCTCTCTGCCCACAGCATTCACGGTACCTGAAGGACGAAGGAAGCAGACTGCCCTGCGGGAGGGATCCTGACAGAAAGGACTTCAGTCAGTGAGTGCTGCAACGCGGTGAGAAAGCCGTGCTTTGAATTTAACATGGTTATGTTGGGCATCAGTGGCATTTTAGCTGTATTTTTCTGGTAACCGTTTCTGACTTTTATGCCTCATGACTTGGACTCACTTAAAAGCTCTCTCGGTGTAGTTAAAAAACGTGTTTTATTGTTTTATCTAATCCAGTGCATCTGGGGAAACTCCATTTGAGGTAACAAGATCTGTGCCTATTATTTCCATTGATGAAAGAACTGATCTATACACATTGTATTGTCCAGGAGAGGGCTGGGCAGTACAGCACATACGGCTCTGGGGGAACAGCTAGGACCGAGTGTCTTGGTCACCCAGCAGTGTAATTCAGACTAGTGAGAACCAATGTGAAGCTGGCTGGTTGTAGCTCAGACATAGCTGGGAGCGACTTACATGATGGAGGCTACTGCACCAAAGCAGTGCTACGGGCAGCCTAGATGAGGGGGCTGGGGTGACACAGCTATTCATTAGTCTAGGTTGTACTTTGGGTATGTCACAGCCCACCCAGGCCCCGATCCTGCTCCCACTGAAGTCAATGGGAGCTTTGCCATCGATTTCAATAGACGCATTCCCCAAGTCACAGAACTGGCACCGTGGGGCCCATATAAGCATTGACTTACCATGCGTGCACCTCCCCGTGGCTGAAAGCAGGCTGGGCTCTGCAGGCCCGTCCTCCCGCTCTTGTGCTGAGTGTTGCCTCTCAGGGCTTTCTCCCTGCAGGCCTGGCTCCAAACTCACCAGTCCTTCTCCCCGGGGGGAGGGGGGGTGTCAGGGTATTTCCTCCCCAACTTCCCCACTGGCTGGCAGGGGAACCAAGACCCTCCCTCTCCTCTGGGGTCCAGTCCGGCGACCTTATGGCAAGCAGCTAAGGTCTGCTCCCTCAGACTCCACGCCACTGCTGTGGACTTCTTCCTACCTTGACCTTCCTTCAGGTCTGTCCAGATGGGCTGTAAGCCCCAGGGGGAGCAGTCTCTCTCATGGCCCTTCCTTCACGCCCAATCAGAGAGGGACGGCAGAGTTCTTCCGCTGTCTCCCGGCAGCCACAGGGGCTGCGTGCTATGGGCCCCAGGCCCCACAGATAATCCTCAAAGCCAGCCTAGTGGCTGAGCCAGGGGTGCACTCAGCAGAAGGGGCCCGAGCTACCTGCCCAGCTGGCCCCAATCTGAGCGGTGTGACTCATACACGAGGTCATTGGGGAGGGAGGCGAAGGCAGGGCCAAATGTGAGTAGCACTGCAAGCCCATGGGCCAGGTATGGTGGTGGTTCAGCAGGGATTTCTCTCCTAGGTGGAGGGCTTCACCCTCGGACTCCCAAGTATCGGGGACTCTGCCTCATACACCCCTGTGGAGGGCTTCACTGCCCTCCCCCCAAAAACCATTTTTACAAACCTGGCACCGATGCCTGCAGCCTCCTCCTCCACTTTGCTCTCACCACCCAGCTGGGCTTCGTCTTCCCCTAGGCCCGAGCCGCTCTCCAGGTGCAACCAGGTTCTTGAACTGAGCTCACTAGCTCCAGTTCACCCTTTCATAGACCCCATCCCAGGGCCCCATCCTGCAAGGTGCGCACCCCCCTCCCTTCCCATTGGTGTCAGTGGGAGTGAAGGGTGCTCAGCATTGAGCCAGGTCAGGCCCTTGGGGCTGCCAAGCAGATGTCTCCCCTTGTTTCCTGTATCTAATCACAGCTTTTAAAATAATGTTTCGAAGAGGTGGCCTGCAG